AAAGGGAACCAAGGCTCAATGTGGAAATTACAGAGAAATATCTTTACTTCTGTTGCAGGAAAGATACTTGCGAGGATATTATCAAATCGTCTAATCCCAACTGCCGAAGAGAACCTTCCAGACACAAAGTGTGGCTCATGCATGTGCAACTCTTATGGCGCAATAGACCTATTTATTTTTACCTGTATGCGCACGCAACACGAGGCAATGCATTTTTATTGGCTAACTAGTACAGGTGTAAAGTAATCCTTTTCCACGCGGGGCATCTTCTTGTCCTTGTACATTGCCCGTGGTCTGACAAGGATAAAATTATGCTTGATATTCAACTTGACGCAGCTTGACAAGTGATCGATTTTCAATTGTTTTTGTTGTTGATTGACAAATACGTTGCACGTCACGCGGTTTTCCTCCTTCCTTTTTTATCCCGTGCAAATATTAAGAACGGATTGCTATACGTAAGTCTAACATAATTTGGTACGTTTTGCCTCGTCTTGCGCAATAAGCGTTCTACGTCTTTTTCTATCTAATAAAGTTCTCGTATTATTACCTCTTTGTCTGGTAAAATAGATAGGTCTATTCGTTCCGCTAAAAGCTTGCGACTACAGACGGCAGAGGCGCTGTCGTCCAATGCTGTTGTCAGATTTATACATAAAAAGTCCAGATTATTCTTTATTTGTTTTGAAAAGCTTCCAACAATAGGAAAAAAAGTCGTGTACCTCGCTAACATATAATTGCTAGTAGTACGATTTGAAATTACATTTCTTTTTCGAATCAAATATCCCATGGTTTTGACATGTGGCAGCGTCGCTTCACTTTTACTTTTTCATTATATTTTGACAAATTTTGACATATTCCATTTTTATTCAATAATTTGAATCAGAGATTGAAAAATTTTTCTGTTTAAAGCAAAGTGGTCTTATCTTGTTGTGTGGCAATGTGTGAAAGCCGAGGAAACAGAGTAAAAATTCATTGAATTCCCAAAAATGATGAACAGGTATGTTTTAATCCCTATATTATACCGAAATTGAGATTTTACCTCCTGTTATTTTACCACTGTAACTTCCTTTCTTTTTAGGTGTTCATTTTATGCCTGCCAAACGTTTACAATCAAAAACTCTTATTCTTGTAAGTACCTACCTATTATTGATTGGGTTGGGTTGATATCATACTGTAGTTAATAAAGTAATTCAAAATTGTTATTTTTGTATTTAATACATGGTATAATTAGTATGTAACTCTTCGGTATGTGATCAAGAGACTGTTTATCATAATTTTATTTCCACTAGAAATATATTAAATTGTTCAGTGCTAGTGGCAATAAAAAATGATAAACGGATCTTAAAGAAAAAATTAAATTTAAAAAGAAGCGCTTCCCGCGCTCTCAAGTTGCTGACTACACACGCGAGAGGGCGCTGTAATCAGGAACAAAATGTTTGTATTGAGTTGCCTATCTATATTATAGGTTCGAGAGAGTTTTGTATCCCTTATCTATGGTGTGGCTTTTAGACCCAACCCATGAACAGTTGACATGATTTTCAGTGCAAGACAAATGCAAGAGAAATCCAGAGAACAAAATCGCCCTCTATGACCTTCATAGATTTAGGAAAAGCATTTGATTTGGTCAACAGAGAAACTCTTTGGAAGATATTGGCAAAGTTTGGGTTTCCGCAAAAGTACACCCAGATACTCCGCCTGCTACATGATAATACGAATGCGACGTCCTAAGCGACGATAGACAAGGAGAATCTTTTAAAATAACTACAGGCAATAAATAGGGCTGTGTTATTGCACCCACTCTATTTTCTCTATTTAATGGGACCCATACTTTACCTTGTTACCAGTGTCCCTATTCTTGAAACAGGGGAGCAGTGTTTCCAGGAGAACGAGTGTTCTGTCTTTCTCAATGATATGAAAATAATAATATGAGTAACGAAAACAGAACACTCGTTCTCCTGGGAGCGGTGCTCCCCTATTTCAAGAATAAGGACTCAGAGGTTCACCTGCCGTCAGGCGACTGGAAATCCTGTACAGACGTTTATTCAACCTAAACAGATTACCAGCCAAGACGAAAGTACTTATCGACGACATCGATAATTGAACTTCAATATGCGAATGATAACGTCGTGATGGCCAAAACAGAGGAAGCTCTTCAGGCAATTATCAATACGTTCAACCAGGCATACAGGAGAATCGGCCTAGAGGTCAACTTTAACAAGACGCAGATTATGCACCAACTCGCACCGGGCACTAATCCATAAGCCCCAAATATTACTATAAATGACTATTCCTTGCAGAACGTAGAACACTTTGGAACCATCATGTAGCAAATGCTACCATTGACGCTGAAATCCAACATCGCTTGAAGTGTGCTAGCATAGAGTTTGGGCGACTTCTAGAGAGAGTCTTCAATAATCGCGACATCAGCGCACCAAACTTCGCGTCTACAATGCAGTTGTAATACCAACACTTCTATATTGGCTTCGAAACATGGACCACCTACAGAAGAAACATGAAAAACCTAGAACAATACCGCCAGCAATGCCTAAGAAGGATCCTACGGATAAAATGGACGGCAACACCGACGAACGAACATTAGTGTTTTAGAGGAGGCCAAAACAACTAGCATGGAAACCCCTCAAGCACCAACTTCGCTGGACAGGTCTCCTCGTCCGCATGTTCGGAACACGTCTCCCACGACAGATTCTCTACAGTGAAGTGAAAGACCGAAAACGACATCAAGGAAGTCAACAAAAACGCTACAAAGATGAGGAAAATATGGCAAAGTGCAGACACGAGGCCGAAAAGAGGGACCGCAGGGCGGCAGGAAGGAGAAAGAGGACAAAGGAAGAGACAAAGCTGCCAGCGGCTGACTGTGCCAAGACTGTGGAAGAGTGTGGAAGACTGTGTGACTCCAGAATTGGTTTATATAGCCATCAAAAAACGTATAATCGACGACATTAAGAATATAATAGGAGATAATCATACTCGGTAACGAGTGATCGCTTATAATGAGGTATTCTATAACGTTCTACTTCTTCCAATTCCCGATCTCTAAACATCACTGTCAATCCAGGCATCCTCCTCCAAGAAGGCTGGAGGAGATATTTTCAATCAAGGAATTATAAAGTTTCTGAACATACTGATATTAACATATGGTTTATTTTTTTATTTGCAACCATATATGTAATCTCGACATTACTGACTTTTTAAAAATTTGAAAGTGACACTTTACCTGTGTCACTTCCCTCTTCGATTTCCCTCACCGATTTCCCTATTCGACTTCCCTCACCGATTTCCCTCACTCTAATTTATTTACCTTTGCTGGCAACAATGAGAACATGTCAGGTAAAAACGTCAAAACAGGTGAATGACATATTTTGGCATGTTTGTTTTATTTTTTTAATAATAAAAAAATTGAATGACTAATCATATAGTTGGGGAGCTGGCGTCAAAAACATGCAAGAGTTTTCGCAAGGCGGATATTTTCAAAATAGGTCGTACTTTAGTGCTAGAATGCTAGTGTACAGTCAGCACTCACAGTTCCGGGACAGCTGGCTCTGGGACGCGGGCAAAGTTGTAATTTTAAGAAGCATCTAAACTGTTTTCTGAAAGCTCAAAATTTATAGAAATTTTGCACATTATCTGTTTGAAGGTCACAGATAACATATGTAAATCGTCAGACGTCTAGTTCGTTGCAAAAAGGGGGTCAGACGTCCTCAAAGTTTTTATTTTATGGCATTTTCTTCGGTGTCCTGTCAAAATATATTTTTGCAGGTATTTGACAAATATATATGAAGAAAATGCCATAAAATAAAAACTTTGAGGACGTCTGACCCCCTTTTTGCAACGAATTAGACGTCTGACGATTTACATACGTTATCTGTGACCTTCAAACAGATAATGTGCAAAATTTCTATAAATTTTGAGCTTTGAGAAAACAGTTTAGATGCTTCTTAAAATTACAACTTTGCCCGCGTCCCAGAGCCAGCTGTCCCGGAACTGTGAGTGCTGACTGTACACTAGCATTCTAGCACTGAAGTACGACCTATTTTGAAAATATCCGCCTTGCGAAAACTCTTGCATGTTTTTGGCGCCACCTCCTGGACTAATAATAATTGGTGTGCTTGCAAATAAAATAGTATACAAACCTCGGAGGAAAGTTTTCATTTCTGTCTCGAGATTAATAGTCAATCTCGACGCTTCGCGTCTCGATTGACTATATAAATCTCTCGACAGAAATGAAACACTTCCCTACTCGGTATGTAATATACTATTCCAAGATAGATTTTGACATTGTCAACTTTGAAACATAAACAATGCCGCTAATGCCGCTTATTGGTCGCTATTGTAAAACTAATGTCAACCTGTAGAAGCACCTCATTTTGTGACCAATCAGGGTCAAGCGTTATTGTTTATGTTTCAAAGTTTTCAATGTCAAAATCTATCTTGGGAAAAAATAAATCTTGGCGGAGCAAAAAATCCGGAAGAGTAGGGTTGAGAGAACTGCAGTAGAACGAGCAGAAAGTATTTAGACATGTAGAAAATATTGAGGTCAATCAACTTCCAAATTTGGAATACAAGGAAGAGATTATCGACTACTGGAGGAACTTTTGTAACTTTTATGGAGGTGAATCTCGTCCGAAAATCACAGGTGAGACATCTGGATTATTAAAAAAGTCAGCCGTGGATTTATGCCCATTCGCAGAATTCAGAAAATTAAGGCCAGACGCGTGATTAGTCGTTTGCAAGTAAACAGCACGGTTCTTATTGGTCGATTCTGGTTTTGTGTCTCGTCAAGTGCCGAATTCAGGGCAAGTATTCTCACGTGAGCATGAACAGCGCGTGATTGGGTTATCAGTTAAGTTCGCCTTGGATTTGAGATATTAGTATCACGATTCAACTCATGCAAAAATAAATTGGGTTAGGAAAGTCATGTCACTTTCCTAAATTTGTAGAAGTTTGGTGAAAGTATTACTATTATGTAAAAAAAATACTACAAGTGTCTAAAACAACATTTTATTTTCAAACAAATTCACTTTTTGAAGTTATTGTCTACCAGTGGGTATTTTTCAACAGACAAAATAAATCACCTAATATATTGTCAACAAATAATTTAAAATAATATTTTGATTTTATCACGTGGATATGTGGATGTATATTAGTATGTTTTAGTTTAGGTACCTACATAAGCTCTTACCGAAACATTTCACAAATTCTTTTTTGAAAACATAAGCATGCATTTTCCTAATTTACTTTACTACTTTTTAATTTTAAGGCTGGGTTTGACCTAAAAAAATCATTCAAATATTTCATACAAATAGGATATATCTTCAACACTAAAAAGCGTTTTGTGACAAGGCTTTATTTGGCTCATAATGCCGAATAATTAAATTAGCATCAACTACATGAAATCTTGGAAGTTTTTATTATAGAGCTGCCAAAAGTTAATCCTTGAACGCCAGCGCTCAAAGTAACCGTAAATATAGGAACAAACTGAAGCTATACCTTCTATGTAAGTGCTTTGGCTATGAACTTCGAAAAAAACAGAAACTGTATTTATACCAAAAATAAATACAATCCTAGTTCAAAACTATTTACTTCTTTGGTGGTACCAATTCAAATTTCCAAATTTTATTTGGTCCTATTTCGGCCACATAAAGGGCTGAACCATTGGCGCAAATTGCTATGTCGTGGGGATTGTTGAAGCCCTAAAATAGAGTAATTAAAATAATTGTTGATTATCATACCTATTAAAAAAACAGTCAAGTAAGTACTTTATTTTAATGCAAACCATCTAAGCTGGCCAATCACTGTTAAAGTTAAAATATGAGACAATCAGAACAGATTGTTCATACACTTAGAGAAGGAAAAATGTCCGAACGGTTCAAAGAGACCGCAAAGTGCTCATATCTCTGCCAATTGCTAATTGGAATTGTTTAATGTCGTGTACACGAGATGGTTTGTTGAAAAACTTGTTTGTTCTTCACATTTTCTCCTCTCTGATGTCTTTACTTTGTTATTTTTGCCTTATGTCCACGAGAGGATTATTTATTTGTTAGTCATGTGAAATGAAAAAGTGGTTTAAAGAGGACTTGTATTTTCATTTGATAGTTACGTTACGTGCAATTACAAATATTTTTTTCATCTGCATTAATGGTTTTAATTGCGAATTAAATGGTATTAAGATTAAGATTATGGACTACTCAGTAGGTATCGAGTGAAAATAAATCAAGAGGAATAAACTAGTAATTAGTAAAGAATGTGTTCCAAAAATGACATGTTACAAGGTACTGGTATATGGCCGCTAAAATGTATGGTTCTTACCCCTTCAGGTGCCCAATGATCTATCACAGTTTCAGTTTCAGGGTCAATGGTTAATCCTTGGATCGGTAACATGGGACTAGTGAAACCATTGACAGCATAAATTAGTTTTCCTGAAAAAAAAATTAAAATATTTTTACACCTTTATTGTCTATTTTGACTATCATTTATAAAAAAATAGGGGAAAGAGCCGAAAGAGGAGCTACGAAATAAGAAATTGAGTCATTGAAAATTTCGAAAAAAAAAAACTGAGAAAAGTCCCTTTGATTCGAAGTACAAATGATTCTTGTTTGGGTGAGTATTTGATTGAGGTTGGTTAGAATTGGTGAGAGAAAATTGGGAACAAATAAAGCTCCTGGTTTAAATAATATACAAACAATGTGTTTGTCAATTTATAATAAGGATTTATGAAATGTCATAAATCCTTATTATAAATTGAATATTGATCCTTGATCCTTTTTTGTACCTTATCGATTAAGCATGGGATATTTCCAAAACCATTCAAAATAGCGAAAGTTAAACCTCCATTCAAGTCATGCGACACGTGCAATGCTAATAATGACAGGCCTATATCTTTTTTTTTTCTGGCGTCTCCAAACTCTTGGAAAAACTTCTGAAAAAGCGAAAAAAAAACAGCTTTGTGCATCTTTGTTGATCTGGCCAAGACTTTCGACACTGTCGATCATCAAGATCTATTGAAAACTTTGAATCGGCTGGGATTTAGGGGTAAATTTTCGAAGGTTGTTAAAAGTTTCCTTTTTGACAGAGAACAGTATGTCGAGATAGTTACAAAATTGAGCACCTTCACTAAAGTACAATGCAGCGTTCCCCAGGGCACTGTTCTTGGTCCTCTGGTCTTTACAGTTTTTCTTTAGAACATTTTTGAAATTGATACTGTTGGAAAGGTGCTTTGTTTTGCTAATGACGAAGATGAAGAAAACTAGTTTGGTCAAATATCCAGGGGTTATGATGGATTGCCACCTCTAATGGAACCACTCAATCAACTATTTGTACTATATTTATAAGAAACTCGGGTGTTTGGAAATATAGCTATACAAATTAAAATACCTACTACAATAAAATCCTACATTTAAAAGCTAAAAATATTGTAAACGGCTTTGGCACGGCTTAATATTTGGTAGAACCACATTTAGTATACGGTAATAATAAAAATCAGAATCGGAATTTTCAAAGTTTTCCGGATATTTCCTGAAGTATTTGGAATTTCTCAAGTTTCAAAATGGATTTTGTTAAGCACAAAAATGCGCAACTTTGCCATTTTTAACCGACCCCGTATCTCTTACGGTTTCCGAGCGAGATCCTAAGGATGCAATGATGTGGCTCGAATTTGAGCCACCAGCCACCCTGTATATTTTTTTTGTATCTATTAATTCCTTACATTTTCTTTATATGATTTTTTAAACAATTAATAAAAAAAAATGTTTTTGTAAGTTAACTAATTTGGATTCCAAAGGAAAATATCTATTTCATAAGTGTTTTTAGAATTTTATGGAAAAAAAAAACCAAGGCAAGACCACCATTTCACCCTGCCTCATTTGTCAGGATTTATATTGAATTATTAACACCCTGCCGCCATCTATCATCATTTATAAGTATAGGATTATTAACATTAACATTCTGGCGCCATCTATCAACGAGAAACATATTTAAGATGAATTATAGGTACCATCGTCACCAAAAGTAACAGCTCTATATATGAAAAACTGTATGCAGAAAATTTTTGAAAATTTGACAATATACTAATGTCAAACAGTTGAACTTAAAGTATGTTTTTTTTTTTAAAGATAAAAGTCAAAATGACATTCTGTTGGCAATACAATATAAAATTGTCACTGCTTTCAAATTTTTTATGTAGAAAAGGCTTGTGTTGCCAACATAGTTACTAAATTTTTGACTTGGGGAATTATCTTTAAAAAAAATACAGACTTCAGGTACTATATAGGGTATATTGTCAACTAGCTACTTAGGACAGGAGGGCCCGGTATTCAACCTTATTAATTTAATTGCCGATTCATTTGGATGTTTATTGCAATTCAGCAATACATTCATGTAAATAGTGGGCGAAGCCAAGCAACAGACAGACTTGAACCAGTGTTAGAACCACCACTCTGGAGTCAAGTCTCCCCAGTGCAAGTACCGCCACCCTGGGAAAGCCCCTCTGGGAAACTGCATCGTCATCTAGTGCAAGTACCGCCACCCTGGAAAAGCCCCTTTATATAGATGAGGATCAGTTAAACATCGATTAGCATTCAACCTAACATTAGCATTAAAACCAACATTCCTAAACTCTGTTTTTTTTTTAAAGATAATTCCCCAAGTCAAAAATTTAGTAACTATGTTAGCAACACAAGCCTTTTCTACATAAAAAATTTGAAAGCATCGACAATTTTACATTGTATTGCCAACATAATGTCATTTTGACTTTTATCTTTAAAAAAAAAAAAACACATTTTAGGTAGCGTCAAACGTGTAGCCCTAACCACGGAAGAGCATGCATCCTGGAGTATTTATGTAATAACATCATAGCAAATATACACCAGTAACCTGAGCGAGTTTCTCTCCATCTATTCACCCTGCATCCCCCGTCATAGGGAGACATTGACATTTGGTGGAGTCGCCGTCTCGAACGCGACGCTCAAGAACCGACACTTTTAAAGCAAGCCAACGCCTACACCCCCACGACCAGGTTACGTCGACAAGACAGAAATTCACGACACCGTGGCGAAGGCGAAAAAATTAGAGAAAAGGCACTCTTGAAAAGTCATAGCAGCAGTAGAAAATATACGAAAAATACAAGGAAAAGATAAGGGACGTTTTGACGAACGACATAGAGAATAATTGGATTTCATAGTTGGAGACAATGTTAAGGTTTTCGTAACAGGAACAGATCTTCAAAAAAAAATCAAAGATTCTTTTGATTACGAAAACGTACGTCGCATTATTGTTTCTTTATTGGTCAGGTTTTTTGACATGACATTTTAACAACAAAGTTCATCGACAAAATTAAAGAAAAATATTGCTAAAACATACGTTTAAAAAATCATAGCAATCTTTGATTGGTTTTTTTATTGAAGACCCGATACCAGTTAGAAAGATTAGAAGAAGCGGAAAGTTATTCTCAAGATGGTTTGGACCATTATGAAGTAATTAGAAAAATGGGAGAAGTGAATTACGAGGTAGAAAAGATTGGAAGCAGAAAAAAGGAAACGGTCCACGTGAGTAGGATGTTACCCTACTACCACAACCGCCTTTACGTATCCAGCCATGAACAGCGGAGACGCGGCAGTATAGACGCGGCAACACTGCTTGGTGGTCGGCAGTTTCCATAATCGTGTGACAGCTGATGAGTATTTAACCTCTAATATAGCTTTTTTTGATTAGGCGCTCCAAGCCACGTGATTTTTCAATATGGCGACTGAGCAAAATTTGACGTTTGTTTGTTTGTCTTGAGTTAATTTGGAATATTTTCAAGTTAATTACAGTTTACTTTGTTATAATATACTTTTCGAGATGCAGAGTGAATATTTAAAGACTTAAATACAGGAAAATCGGGATGTGGGCGAACGATAAGTTTGAAAAAATGTCTAAGTTGACATTTGTTTACATTTTGACCTAGTTTTTACAGCAATGAGCAAATGAAGACCAACAAAAGCTTAGATTCTTAAAAGTATTTCGAGTATGGCTTTATTTTAGATGCAGGAACAGTGGTACTGAATAATTTCTACGTTTTAATTGAAAAAAATTGAAAGGTTGGGCACAAACCTGACATCATCCTTATTGAAACGCCTTCTAAAATCAACTACAAGACACCTTTGTAGCACATTTTTAATAAGAAAAAAGCCTTATGAAGTCAATAAAATAAAAAAATAAATAGGGTTTAGTCACAAAACAACCACACTTTAAAAAGCTCTAAATTCTGTACTGTCATATACGAAATAAGGAGCTTCCGCCCCGGACGCCATTTTGGAATAGTTTTGACAAGTCCCCACATAACAAAATTGCATCCTTAGAATGTATTAAGAATGTTTTTTTTTTCAGGAGGAATGTGCCTAGAATGTTCGCCAAAACCATTGCGAATGTCCTGTGAATGTTCTGAGAAAACATTGTAGAAATACTGTTTGCAATACCCAAGAACTTCCTGGGAAATCCATTAGGATATTCCTAGAATATACCTATGAGATTCTCAGTACATCCTAAAAAAAAATATTCCTGTTTGATTCTAAAAATATGCTCGAAATGTATATTCTCATATTCAAAGAATGTTTCTATGACATTATAGTTATGTTCTCAAAAGAATATTATACCAATATGCTTGAAATATTCTTAGAATATATGTACATATATCATTCTCAATATGTATCCTAGACATAACATTCTTGTTTGATTCTAAGGATATACTTGGAATGTCAATTTTCTTTTCCAAATAATGCTCCTTCCAGTCCTTTTATATTAAAGGCAGTGAAAGAATTGTTGGAAAATTTATCTGGAAAACACAAGTGTTTAACCAAAGGTCCGGCTTCGAGCTTGTTATGCTCTCGTCGCAGTATGCCAACTGAGAGAAACAGGTTCCAAGGTGATTGAAACGCGAGGCAAGATGTAGATCTTTAATAGCGCGTGGCTCCCTCTCTTGGAAGTCGTACAAAGCAAATAAAAAGAATATACCTATAATATTCTTAGTAGGTTCTGGTTCTAGATAGAGCATCATTGTTTAATTGTTCAATTAGGTTTTTGAGTAGGTACCTACTTTAGATAATTAGGTGAACAATATGGAAATATTCTTATCATGGGTACCTACCTACATTAACTTCTCGGCACAACTTATTGGTAGGTATATTCTTAATACTTGATAGAGATATTAGCCGAAAGAACATTTTTTAGGGTACATTATAATATTGTTCGTATGAGAATATTCGAATAATGTTATATAAAGTAGGTTCTTAGCACAATCTTTCAGGTAGGTGCATAGAAGCAACATTCCTAGTACATAAATAGAACGTTCAAAAATGAATATTTTAATCGAAACAATCTTAGAATATTCATTGAACATTCCTAAAAGAACATTCCAAAAAGCACTTTGAGGGAATATTCTGAG